TCCTTAATGACAAAGAATTATTGTAAGAAATAGGAGAAATCTAGCTTTTCAATGTTGCTGTAGTTTTGTCAAGACAATATGAAATTTATTTCATAAATATTTATCAAGATTTTATTCATCTCATAACATATTTACAATGCTACTGTAAACTCTCTACCTTACTTTTTCCTCTTTTTTTTCTTGTAAATGTAGAAAGGCTTGTAACTTATATGACAGCCCTCCTATTGGATCTAGAAGGCTACACTTTCAGCTTTCAAATTTGCTTTGTAAACTGCACATTCTTAGAAATGGTGGGAAGTATTTTACACTATCTGAATAATAATGAACAATATTTCTCAGTGATTTATAACTCTAAGAGCAGTATAATTTGATTTATGAACAGCTCTCAAATTTTCCACTGGCAGTTCATACAACTGTGAGTAAATTTTCTGGCCAAATGACTCAGTATTTTGCTGCATGACTAATCTTACATTCCATGTAGAAACTATATAAATGATTCTATTTGCTTGTGGATAATAAATAATTACTTTCCAAAACTGTCTGCAAAGCATTATAGAGTTCAATTATATTGATGTTTTTAAGCCCCCCAAACTCAGCAGACTTTTTAAAAAATTCCATAAAGCTCACACAAAAATTTTTGTTCACAGCATTATTATGGATTCTGCAGCCTGATAACCCATAGGATAACAAATCTTAATTAGGCTCTAACGTTTCTAAAATGTTAAAAGAACAATCTGAAATGATTTTATTTGAGACATTTTCTCTTATAAGGATAGATTTAAATTATTTAAAATGTTTTTATTTTGGTAAAATGAATATAAAGTTATTTCCCGGGGTATATTTGCTGAAAATGACATTTGATTTTACTGAAAATGACAATTATCTTTTTTTCCCAAACTCAAAAGACAAAAGACAATAGCAATCCATCCACATGATGGTTTTCCTGATTCTGGTGACTGAAAATTGCCAGATTTTCAAGATTACTTTAGATAAATTAGGTTATTCCAGATGACATAAACTACTTTACCTTCTAGTGCATGCACATATAACATTTGGCCTGGGCACAAATAGGCCACCAGTCTAAGACCAGTACAATTAATTTGTAACAATTTGTTGTTAGAGCATTCTTACCTAAATTTTTTGTTCTCAAGGAGGTAATATTCAATGGGATGTTCTTGTGTGATTAACAATTGGGTAATTTACTCACTTTCATGTAGGTTTGTAATAAATACAGAAAGCCTGGGCTGCATTCCAAGGTAGTCTTATCTTTCCCTAATAAGAATTCTTCAAGTCTGAGTATTAGTAGTCAGGGTTGGTCAGGGAGCCATCACTAGTTTTAGTTCTGCAGCATCAAAAGCAGCTTGAGAGCAGAATCATTTGGGAGAAGGGGTCCTCAAGATATGTTGAATCACATTACTAAATCACAAGTCTCAGGAGAAGGCAGACTCCTCCCCTCTCTTCAATTCTTCCTCTCCCCCTACTGTTCTTTCTCCCAAGTTCCTTAGAACCTTGTTCAAATACCCTTCCTTATCCAGACAAAAGGGTCGCTATTGGCCTTTATTCAGGCTTCAATTGCTTACTTACTCATCCTCTTTTAGATTTAAATTTCTCCAAAGATCATAGACAACCATTTTCTACTCTTTTTCCCTCACATTTCCTTTCAACCCATTAACTTCTGATTCTAGCCTCTTCTGCCATACGAATCAGTTCTCTGGAAGGTTTCCAGAGGTCTCCTGCTAAACAGTTCTAGGTCCTCACCCTTCTAAATCTCCCATGTGGGCATTGGTTCAAGCAAGCCACTGAGTTGGAACACTTCCCATATAGCTTCCAGTCCTGCCTTTTGTTCTCCACCAGTCCACAAATGGTGGAGTAGTCTCCAAAATTCCGTTTCCAATTTTTTTCCTATAGTTTCTCTTCTTTAGTCATTTCCTCCATTTCTATGACTCCGACATCTGTGTAGATGACTCCCACATCTGCTTCTGGTTCTGACCTCTCCACCCACATTTCCATGGGCTTGCTGGATATTTTCATACTGATATCCTTTTGACAACTCCATCTCAGTAGGTCTAAAACCCAGTTTGTCATCTTTTCCTTCAAACTCTTCCTCCACCCTACCTCAAAATTTGAGTCATCTTCTTTTCCCTCAATTGCTACATAGCTTTGGGTGGAAACTTTTCTTCTTTCTGGCCCATAAATTGAGAACTTGTGCCACAACTTCCTACTTCTAGAGAAGTACTATGGAAGATGTTTCCACCTTTTATCAAAGCCCCCTTTTCTTGACTGTGGGAGGTAGAAAGACTTAGTAATGGCAGAAACTGCAAAGGGCCTGCTAGCCACTCATGGGCAGAGTAGATGTATAAAGGTCCCTTTTCACAGAGAATTCTTGCTCACTCATGGTGTGTGCCTTGTGGGTTGGAAAGTGTCAGGCTCTTAGTGTCTGGTTTCTGTGCAGGAATTTGTACAGGTCAGTTCTATCCTGCCCTACTATTGGGGAGACTGTTCTTTAGCCATGTGACTAGGTGAACATGCTAAGTTAGGGGAAGAGGGAAAAGATGTCCCATTTGGGCCTTGAGTCTAAGCTATGTTCTTTAATTTGGCTTATCCTTGAAAAATTTAACATTCTAATTTCTTTTGGATCCTTGTAGTTTTTCACAATTTGGTTGAGAATTCAAAGAGAAGGAGGGCTGTGGGATGGATTACCTTATATATGTCTGATGCCATTTTCTCTGTCTCCTGTGTCTTTCTCCTGGGTGACAATGCTAACTCACTATCACAAGAAAGTCAACAAATTATACACACTTTTTCATTATGATTTTTCATTTTTTATGACAAATTTTGACCATGGATTTTCCTCTTCTACCTTATCCTCAAACTTTATTTTTTTTGATTTTTATATAATGCCAATTATTTTTCTTTAAAATGAAAACCTAGCAGAAAGAAAAGGTATGAATTCTACCAAATTAACTTTCAAAAAGGCTGATTTAATATTTATTGAATTCCATAATGCATCAGGCACCACACAAATACAAAGAAGCAATTAATAACATGCCATTGTTTGGGAAAAAATGATTAATTAGCAATACATCAGAAATTAACAATGAAACCAAGCACTGAACTCTTCTAGGATTTGGTTTGCTTGTTGTTAATATCTTTAAGATAACTGATGCAAAAAACAGAAATGAATGCATCTAAAAAGAAGTATCTATAATCCTTCTGCATGGTAGTTAAGCATTTGCCTGCCAAGAGAGATAAATGATGTTCTTGTGTGTTCTTGAAACTTATAAATGGCTGCACCAAGACTGAGATGATAAGAATTGTGCTAAAGAAATAGCTCAGAGAACCATAATTGCTATTTAGTTGCTTCTTATTGTTAAAAATGCAGTGTTTGAGGCAAATTTGTTTCTATGTGGTGTTGGTAGTCTTTTGCCTGTTTCTGTTCAAGGATATTTAATCCATCTCAGCTCACAAATTTTTAGTCAATGAGAAACATAAAGATGACCTTCCTAAATTCTATTGTTTCCACCCAATGTTTGCAAAAGATTAATTCCGTTTTGTGGTTTTAAATTACTCCACCATGCCATTGTTAATGTGATAGAGAATTCTTGCTTTCCTGATGTGCCACACATTGCAGGCTCAGGATTCTTTTCAATAACCCCTGCATAATGGACAAGAATAGTTTCTGACTGCAGTGGGCTGCAGTATCAGGAAACCCTTAGCTATGTGCACATGATGCAGAGCTACCTGTCAGCCCCTCTGAGTGCCAGGAACCTGTGAAGCCTGTCCTAGCATGCAATGCAGCCTACACTCTGACATTCAATATTCCCATCTTACACCCGGTTTGCAAGCAAGGTCCCTTCTGTCTTCAGCCCCAAATAATGAAATGAGATGCAACATGCCAACAATTTGAATGTTTGTTTTAGGAAACCAGCTGTAAATAAGAAAATATACCCATTGTTTTTCATGTTTATTAATTTAGCATTGAAGAGACTGCATTAGGAAACACCTTTCTGAGTTTCTTTTAATGCTTATACCTGGTAACATGTTACTGGCCTTAACAACATCAATGGTTAAGCTTTTATGCAGAGTTGTAGAGTTGGTTTTGTACAGTTAGAAAACAACACTCATTTTGAGATTCTTACATGCAAATAAAACAAGTATTCCTATCAATTCTTTAATAGTATTTCAGAATTTTACAAATTATTTTTATGACACAATTTCTTTAGTCTCTAAAATATTCCAAAATGAGTCCAATCTAGTTGGATGCAGTAATGTGTTACCTTGTCACTGTGATTTGCAGTTTCCTTATGAGAGTTAGTGAAAACAAACTACCCATCCCCACATAGGGAAAGCCAGCATTGCCTTGGGGGCAGCAGAACGCCATACCGCACTGGCCCGCCAAAGCCGCAAGATGCCGCAGACTGACCGCTGCAGCAGCGACTTCCTCGCCAGGTGGCCAAGTCTGTCTGCAGAAAGGCACACTGCAGCGCTCCTGCTATACCTTCTGCGTTGGCATTGCACCAGTGACCCATGTCACAAACTACAATATACTTTTTGCTGATTATGAAGAAATGTGAGGGGGGGATAGCAGTAAAAGGAAGTGTGTCCAAGAGTGCGACAGATCACCATGGCTTCACACTGCCTAAAAATTTCTCCTCGAAATATTTACAAGCCAAGCCCCAACTTCCTTTATTTGTTAGGTCCCTAAATCTTAAAAACGCCTCTCCCTTCAAATGCATCAAATGAGTCAGGATTTTAGGGTAAACGCAAAGATAACAGGAGGATCTGAAGTGCCTATTTCTCGCCGGCAAAATAGCACCAAGTTTGGGGGTGGACAGTTCAAGTCTCTAGACCCGAGCGTTCTTCTCCGGAGCACTTCTAGTTTAAAGGGGTTTGGAGAGGGATGGGCCTCTCGTTGCTAGAGGATCCCAACTCCCAGGGAAGGCCCTTCCCGGTGCTCGCGCTTCAGCGTGCGAGGAACCCCCCCATAAGCAATAGCTCACCCGGCTGCATACTCCAAAGCCCCTACCTCGGGGCGGGGCGCCGGAGGGTGGGAAGTGGGGGGTAGCACCGCTTGCAGGCTCTCGCCAGCGCCTTACGATTTTCCCCCTGGCTCCTTGGCGCCCCCTCACGCCGGGCTCCCCAGAAATTCCGCCAAAGGAGGCTGGGCAGGTGGAAGCCCCGGGTCCCCGGGAGCCGAGAGGCACCCGCCGGTTGATACGAGGTCGGCGCGCACTGTCAGGTGGCTTGGGTGGAGTGGGC